TAATATATAAATCAAGATAGCCGTTAACACTGTTAAATTATATATATAAATCATCAAAGAAAGGTAAATACAGTGTTCGAATAAAGGACATAATAATACATCGTGTAGCATAGCTTTCAACGAATGTAGTCCTGTAAATATATGAATAAAGAAATTGTGTAATAAAATTCCTCTGGCGGGACTCGAACCTGCGAACTATCGCTGTCAAGGCGAGCGTCATAACCATTAGACCACGGAGGCTTCATGGTTGAGCAGATTCAAATACCACCAGATACACTCCAATACACAATAAGTACGGCTAGAAACAAATAGTTGCGTATAATATAAATTAAGATAGCTGTTAACACTGTTAAATTATATATATAAATCATCAAAGAAAGGTAAATACAGTGTTCGAATAAAGGACATAATAATACATCGTGTAGCATAGCTCTCAAAGAATGTAGTCCTGTAAATAAATGAATAAAGAAATTGTGTAATTAAAATGCCTCTGGCGGGACTCGATCCTGCGACCTCTCGCTGTCAAGGCGAGTGTCATAACCATTAGACCACGGAGGCTTCATGGTTGAGCAGATTCAAATACCACCAGATACACTCCAATACACAATAAGTACGGCTAGAAACAAATAGTTGCGTATAATATAAATTAAGATAGCCGTTAACACTGTTAAATTATATATATAAATCATCAGAGAAACACGATGTATTATTATGTCCTTTATTCGAACACTGTATTTACCTTTCTTTGATGATTTATAAAAGGTCATTTAAAAATTGTATGATCTTTTTTTATATATTCATATTCATATTTATATTTACATTTATATGTATCAATTTTGTTAATGTTGTATGGAAAATAAATTGAACTTTGAACTTTGAATTTTGTGGTACCACAAATAACAAGCCAAATACAAATTCAAACTACATTATACTACAGGTATACCGGATGGTGACCACAATTAGACTTTCTGTTGCCTTTTCCTATTTACATTTCTATTGCTTATTTTACATAAAAAGAAAACAAGTTGAGTACGTGTATTTTTATTTAGGTTATGAGTTAAGTTTGCAGGGATGCATTGAGGCTGGGTGTAAATTCTTATTTTTTTAAAATATTTGATGTTAAGCGCATCGACGCTCTGGCATTTGTGCTATGTAAGTCCAACACTATTATTAATATTACTGAGACTATTGTACATTTTTAAATAATTTTCATTAATTAACTGTAACACGGAAATTGCTTTAATTGATTGATATTGTTGGATCATCAACATACTATCGTCATTGACGGTGTTCTCTTTCTTTTTTGTTTAAAAAAATACTTATTAGGCATTATCCAGTGCCAAACATCAACCATACAAACAGTCTTGTATTGCGAGCTACCCACCATATTGAATACTAGTAGTGCGGAGATATTATAATGGATTTTATTTTCATCTAATTAAAGACTCACTCAAAATAGGGATGTTAATGCAATTTTTCTGTAATAAATCCTCGAACATGATCCATCAATATATTGGCCATCATATATGTTTTGTGTAATACACTGCTCCTTATTGAATATCGATTAGATGACGGTTCTGTTTGTGATATTTTAATGGAGAATTGGGTAATACGAGAATGAAAGCATAACTGTACATCCATTCTAACACCTTTAGACTATACCGTTCTAACATTTAATGTAATGTTTCTTAATTCCCGTCCGTCTAAAATAGAGATATCTAAAGACCACAATATCGGTCTTAAAATAATTCTAATTAAAGGCCAAAGCTGTTAAACCCCATTAAAGCCCCAGCCCAAAATCTGCTTTTCAATTAGAGAAAAACCTCTATTAAGTTTTATTATCATTTTTCTT